AGGAGGGGTCCGGGGCGCGAGGGGCGGCGCCGCCCGAACCGCCCTCCGAGATCATCACCTTTGCCGAGCCAGGTGAGTCAGTGATTTTGTGTGTGTGCGCGTGTGTGTGTGTGTGTGTGTGCGTTTAGCACTTTATTTATGGGATACAGACATTTCTAATGTTAATTATACAGTAAAAACATGAATTACTTTCTGGATTTGTTATGTTGATTTAAACAAACACCACTCGGTAGTGCTAAGGTACAACGTAGTTATCACTCATCTGGAATGGTTTGAAATAGTACCAGGAAGTACCCACTGTTATCTCTTCATTAAATACCGGTGGAAACATGGGCTCCAAAAGGGTTCTTCTATGCCGAAGATCCCTTTTAGCGATGTTTATGTTCCTAGCCCATAGGAGAACCCTTTTTTGTTCCAGGTAGAACCCTTTTGGGTTTCATGTAAAACCCTCTGTGGAAAGGGTTCTAAATGGAATCCAAAAGGGTTCCACGTAGAACCAAAATGGTTCTACCTGAAACCAAAAAATGGTTCTTCAAAGGGTTCTCCTATGGGGACAGCCGAAGATCCCTTTTTAGGTTCTAAATAGCAGCTTTTTTTCTAAGCGTGTAGTGTAAGATAACGTGCTACCTGAAACTCATGCTACCTGCGTGTGTGAAATGTGTGGCTGCCTGGTTCTGGAAATGTTTCAATATTGACGAGTGTCTGTTGTGCCTGTAGGATTCCTTGGAACTTGTAGTCAACAAGGCTTAGATTAAACTGTTGACGTCCCTTTGCAGTTTCTTAGTTCGGGGGTTATGTGCATCCTCAGCTAGCACGAGTTCCCCACGCTTAAGCGAATGTCGACTGCAGCTTTGACTCAGATGATTTCAGTGTGTACCAGTGAGACATTACAAACGCAGATTCTGGAGGGCACATGCAACATGTGTTTGGCAGGTCGTCATTGGAAATAAATAATTTGTTCTTAGCTGGCTTGCCGGGTTAAATAAAGGTTAAATTAAATGTTGGTATGAGGTTAAGAACAAGGAATTGCCAATTGTCTGTAAATGTAGTTGAATATTGACGATAGACTAAATGAAGATGGACTATAGACTAAATGAATATGGACTATAGACTAAATGAAG